ACAACCTTTCATCAAGAAAGGTCAGCATTAGCACACCCCCACATTTTAAACAAACCAATTTTTATTGGTGTGAATTTGTGACATAAGTGGTTAGTTTTCAATTAAAAGGATTTTGCAAAACCAGTGGGTGTTTCTTCTTTTTTTTAAATTCCAAACATTCTCATATTCTCTTTTCTGTACATATTTGTATTAGTTTTATATCAATAGTGCCTCATAGTGGGAGTCATGTAGAAAATTGCCACATCAGGTGACATTTTTAGATATCAGAATAATGTAACTACTATATTATTACTTTTTTGGAATAGAAAACTCATACAAAGCTTTGGAAAGATGGAAAAGCAATGCCATGGGCAAATGCCGAGTAAACACTGCACCACATTGGAAGCCAATCAATGAGAAGCTGAGCTGTCAGTCGGAGGATGAAATAATTTCTTTGAAAATGTTTATTTGTAAAGCCTAATAGCAGGTTCTCCAGGAAAGTGAGGTACTGAGGGGGGAAAAAAATAACACATTTTCACTAAGTGAGACTTTGCCCACAGGGAAGCGAGCACAGAGACTGATGGAGACAATAAGCAAGGACCCTGATAATGGCAAAGTAAACATTTCCAAGCATCAACCAAGAGCCAGTAAGAAATTCAGCGCAAGTGAGCAATCTTCACATGATGTAAATAGGAAACTAATGGCCAAATGATGAAAATGAGCATGACTAAGCTCAGTGTAGACTAAGTGTGACACATGCTGTGGAGTGTGGTTAATAAAAAAGGTCAGCATGTGCGATTCAAATTAAATGTGTTCCAGAGATGGAACCTCTTCTCACCTCCGCTCCTGCTTTACAGGCTAATGATTTCGATACTGTTAAAATGTCTCCGTGCATTAGTATAGCCGGATGGCATTGTTGTGCCCACTGCCATGGGTTCATTTAAATTTGTTATGAGTAGCCATCTTACTAGCATGCATTTGGTAGAGAAAAGGTAATGATTTCCTCATTAGACGATTTTCAAGAAAACAAGCAAACAAGCAATTCCCTGCTGAACTGTTTATCAGGTGAGAAACCGTATTTGGGTACCTTCAGTGGACACTCAAGCTGGTCTCCCTCCCTGTCTCTATGAGATTATCCACACTGATTTCTCCCAGCCAATCATCAAAAAGTCACCTATAAGTGACATCATTATCCAATTAAACTCTAAGATGTAAAATGAATTGAATTTCCAAGTATTTCAGTGAGTGTCCTGTAAATGGTTAAAGACATGCTGTTGAATTCATTTCCTTAGATATTTTCACTTAAATGATTTACACTGGGAAATAGGGCAATTAAAGGAAGTGAGTGGGTACTGAAAGACCGAATGGAAAATGGGGGGGGAAAAAGTTGTTTAGGAAAATGTGTCCGCATTAATTTCAGTTTGGACTGGGGAAGGAAGCCAGAGTACTCAGGAAGAACTCACTCAGGGAGCCTATTCAGGCAAGCTCCACTTAGCATGGCCCCAGAAAGTAGCGGATTCCCTCTAAGGACCTTCTTGCTGTAAGGCAAGAGTGCTAATCACACTTTACTTATTTTTGGCCCAGTTGATCTAAAGTTGCTAATACTTCTTAGCTTAGCTTGTTTTGGTTCATGCAGTTTGTTTTGTAGACTACTACACTTAGAGCATTTACTTATCTCTTATAACTGTGCAATTGACACTGCTGTCTCTTCCAAAGAGGAGCTTAAATGAAAGTGAATGATATTTAATAGATTTAAAATGCACTAGCTTAATCTACAATGGACACTAAAGGTCCCCTAAAGGTCAACACTATGAAGATAGCTTGCTATTTAGAAGAGCAAATCCTTTAATGCTTAACTGTCCTTGTAATGTTTAGCTGAAATTGCCCATATAGAGTGGCTCTTGTGACCACAGTGATTTTGACACAGACATTATCAACATTTAAAAAGCCTTTTAATCAGCGGCCATTTTTCCAGGTGCATTGCTGATAGTGACAACGGATACAAGGTTAGGTGGCCAACCGACCTTTGTCAATATTAACTTGGGAATCAGGTTTATATTGACAAATCCTTGTAGGTGCAAGAGGTACTGTGCCCAGTATGTAATAAAGTAGGACAAATGCCAGAAAACATTAAATATGTCCTGTAGTTATAATAGGTCCAGGCAGGTTAGGTTGTATGTAAAACACCCGTAGGCCTGAAAGGTGAAACTAATGTCGATATGCCTTAGACTTCTGTTCTTTGTAATGACCAGTATGCAAAAGATTTTTCTGGCTGAATGTGTATACAGCACTATGCAGCAGTTTTGAGTGACTACTAATTTCTTCATATTTTGCTAGGAAAATAGGGGAAAAGGAAAATTTATTGAAATGTGCAAAGACACCTAAAAAAAGACAAAAACAGAATCTGTACAATTCAAACAAGCTTGAAAGTCAACATTTAAAATGGCCACTTTATTCTTCAACATAAGCTAAATTGGCTCAGGCAAGTTTTCTTGTCATTTCTTTAAGAAGTCTTCAGAAATAATTGTCTGAGCTTACTGAAGGACTTCTTTGGATGCTGACTTTTGTTCTGTTCTCTGTCAAGATGATCACACACTATTCCAATAATGCTGAGGTCAAAGCTCTGGGGAGACTATTGTGTGTTTGTCTATCTAGGCATGCTTTTACTGCACTGGCTCCATGTGTCATATCATTGTTATACTAAAATTAAGCCTTTGCCTTTCAGAAGCTTTAAAAAAGGTATTGCATGGTGGATCAGTAGCTGATGGCACTTTCTTTGTTCGTAATTCCATCAGTTTTGAAAAGATCCCCAACCACTGGGTGAAAAACAGTTCCAAACCATGACAGAACATCCACTGTCTGTTTCTGGTGAGCAGCATATGGATCAATTGAAGAGTCAGATGCATCTCTCAGATCGTAATCTGGTCTTTGTTGTTTTTTTCTTTTTCTTAAGGTTGTGGCTTTTAGATGCTCTCCCTCTGCTGTAGATAGTCATTTTTAGATCACCCACCTCTTCTATTGTCCTCCACTTGTCTGTTTTTATCAATTTCTTAGGGACACTGCACACCATGCTGAGATATGCCAAGTGGTCACTTAATGGGACCTTCTTCTAAAAATAGTATTTCATGTCTGTCAAACTCTTTATCTTTGTTATCTTTGATATTTTTCATAGATAACGTAGGCTGCTAGTAAAAACTTATTCCTGAGTATGGTCAGGTTCAAGAACTGGGCGGAAAATGAGTGAAAAAGCATAGTTCAAAGAAATAACTTCACAATGCCACGTTTTTCTTTTATGACATCAGTAGATACTTTCCTGTGTTTTTGGTTATAGTCACTTGTTACAACTCTTATTTAACATAATACTTTAATTTTGTAAAGTCTGATAGCTTTTTAAATAAAGTCTATTTAGAAAAAAAAAAGCATGGTATGCTTTAGGATATGGTTATCTTGATTGACAAGTCACTACCCTTTGAGTGTACATTATCCTCAGATTTCTCAATCAGATTCTTATGTGACATTTACTACAAAAATCCAAGATGCCAACAGCAAAAATGCTCAAATCCAGCCTTCAAAACATGACTTTACAAAGCAGTGAGTTAAATCACAGAGGCTACATCCATATTTTATGTACAGACAGTAGGGTTACCAGGGTGACGAGTTCCACCCCATCTGATATCAGATTGTTTCCTTTACGAGAAATGTCAGTAGAAAAGAAAGGCCAAAAATAGCAAATACACATCAATCACTTGTTGTTGTTAAATGTCACAAACTTAATGTGAGAAAATAATAACACAGCATTTAGCTACATGGAAATGTAATTTTTAAGGAGCCGTGCTGGCTATTTCACACTTTTCAGCTCTTCTTGGTATCATTCACTGTACATCTTTACATACCCACAGGACCGATAAAAGTACCCATATGCATTATTTATACCAACTCAGAAAATATACGGGAGTATAATGTTTGTACTTTGTCTCACTCTCACAGTTGGAGGAATAGCACTTTAAATATTCATTATAGCCCTTGTGTGTCAGTGTGGTGGTTACCAACATAAACAAAAATAAATCTCACTAAACTTTATTCTCTATCAAACAAATTTACTTGGATGCTTGAAGGCTGCCAAGGAAGATATTGTCTTTTAGCCCCTCACTGCTTCTATGTCTATAAATGAAAACAAGCTGTCAGGTATTCCATTTTTTAATATTTAAAACTTTTCCTGTGGTAAAGAATAAATTCACAAATAGCACAGGCAACTGAGGGACACATAGAAAAAAATGCAGCTTGGTAAACAAAAATAGCCTTTGTTTCCAGTTTCTTATAGTTTATTACCATCAGGAAATATAACATATACTGTTCTACAAATAAGCATGCAATATATTGATTGTTGCAGTGCAAATGATGAAAAGAATGTATCTTTACACTCAGCAGACATGGAAATATGTCTTTGTTGGGTTATTCAGTTGTTAAAATGAACTTTGCTAAATGTTCAATACTTAGATATACTTAAATGGCATGGA